TCATCACGCTGCATGCTACCGAGCCGCCGAAAGAGGTCGGACATTGAAAGACCCGAAGCGGTGAGCCATCGACAAGAGGTGCGAACTACTGTGGGCTGGCCGTGTCTAGGCCGAACCGGTCATGCCGATGCCATTTATCATTTATGCCTAGACCGGACACTGGTACCCAGATTCTATCTACCTAGGTAGGCAATCTAGAGGCTTTTCTGTCATCCCGTGACGCACGCCACCACCACGTTTGCCCAGGATCACGAATCTACACTAACATCAACGCTTCCCCCCCCCCTGCAATGACCAGGCAACACCGCGTGGAGTGAGACGCCTGATTCCTCCCCCTTCGCCAGCAATCATTAGCCTGCCTATGTACCGTCGTCTTATAATCAGGTGCATAATATGATTTAGTGGCTACGATTTAACGAGCTGTACACGCTTCCGGAGACGTGAATTCAAACCTAAACTTGCTAGCCAAGTATAATAAGATCGGGTATAACAAACAGTCCGGTCCCATACTTCATGACTGCGCATCTCAGATATAAACGGGAAAACTACCATCACTCCCTGCTCCATCCCATCCAAATATAATCGACTCAGGCGGTGGTATGTCTTCCCAGGCATCCTCGTCGTCGTCATCATCCGCCTGCTCACTCCTTACACTCTTGTTACTCCGCAAAGTCTTGACGCTTCGCTTCGATAAAGTACTCTTAAGCCCTCTTGATTCGTTCGGGTGATCATCCAATGGTAGTCTACTTATCCGTGATGGTGTTTCTGGCAATGGCCTAACCCTTGATGGAGCCCATTCAGTGTGAGGCGAAGGTGTATGTGACATCATAGCTCGGAACTCGACAAGCGCTTTTTGTTCTCGGATGCGGCTTATGCGTAAGCGTTCCTCCCGAGAAGTTCGTCCCTTGCTTCGAGAATGTGTCAATGGTGATTGTGAGAGTGACGATATAGAGCCGCGGATTCGGCTCAACCTGCGCGAGGGGCTCGCTCTTTTCTTTCCTTTGCTCATGGGTGTTATTGGTAGATCAACCTTGGGTAGTTGGAAAGGCGGAAGCTGAGGTGGCTTGTTTTTGCTCTGAAATACATCAGTCGTGCCTGCCAAGCCTGAAGTTACACCCGGTATAGGCCATCGGCTAGGAGACAGGAGTCCTTCAGTTCTGACGTCAGTATTCCAGTTTTCATTCTGACTCTGTCCTGTTTGAATGAGATCTCTGTACGCAATGCCTAGAGAATTCCTCGCTGTATGATCCCATGTCCTATCATCATCGCCTCCAACTACGCCTCGCTCTTTGAGAGTAGCGGGTTGTCCCGGGTCCTCTCGAGGAGCATATGCTGACCCTGGTACCGTGTCCTTTTCCAACCCAAAGTTTCGTTGAGACTTTGTGAGCGAGCCGCCGCCAAAGAATGCTGTTGAACCATCCGTTCTTCTACTCATTTGTCTCGCGTCGCCTGGCCTACCGGATATATGAATGACTGTCGGCTTTGCAACGACGTTTGCACTCGCCGTAGTCGCTTCCTCGGTAACTCCAGACGTGAGGATACTTGTACAAGTGGTTACATCTGTCGATGCACTATGGTGGCTATGTCGTTTTGTATCCCCCAGATTAGACACGCTCATTCGTTTCCAAGCTTTGGAGAGCCTGTTTTGGGCTCCACGCAGGCTGATACTTGTGTTTCGTTGATGGCCTGATCTTCGCTGCTCTATAGAACCGATGGCGGGCTGTGTTTCGTCATCAGAAACATAGTCATACTTCCCCGCCGCCTTGTAGGCAATCTCCGGGGTTGGCTGTATGCTGGATGGCTCGGCTTTTCCTGGGACTTCAAGCCCAACCTTCTTCTCATGTGCATCCCCTCCTGGTCTCTGTTTTTGTATAAATAGATCTTCGGTATTAGGCACTTCTCGACTGATAGTGGTATCGGAGAGTAAACTAACTTCATCCGTGCCTGTGGGGGATGGCCGAGTATACCGACGAGCCAACCAAGAATCCCTCGCCTCAACAATAGTATTACCTTGATGTGCCGGCTTAGTCACCTTTGAATATGCAGTCATGGCGTGTGGAAGAACATTGTCCGTCTCTGTGCTCGGATTCGATGTTGTCTGCGACGTTTGAAGCTTGGAAGAAGTCGCTGGTGGATAACCGCCCGCACGCATGTATGGCCCCTGTGGTCCTGCATCCACCATCTTCCGTATTTCATCTAACGTTGGATCCATAAACCCGTTTGCCACGAAGGTACCTGGCACTGGCCCCGATACCTCTGAGAAGTCAAGCTTTCTTGGTTGGTGTCGCCGTTTCCGCACTATGAAGACGGACAGGATGATAGCAACCGCAATGAGTAGGACCGGGATTATAAGAAGCCAGTACAGGTCTCTACGCGAGTCGTCTCCCTTGGTGGGGCCCTTCGCGGGAGGAAGTTCGTTCGTACTGATTATATTGTTCACGTGGATGTTCAAACCCTTTGCCTCCTTCTCTTTCGTACGCCCTTGGGTAGCATTGAAATTAATCCGAATTTCATTAGCAAAATCCGAGTTTAAAGGCTTGGGCACTGTTCCGGAGAGAATCTTAGACGAGTCATCGAACTGAATCCAGGAATAATCGGGCTGCGTCTCGGCCGTCAATTGCGTGTCTTCGGGAGCGAAAAGGAACTTGTTAAGATCCAATGAGAAGTCGTCTCCTGCTGACACATTGAGAGCAGGAAGGTCAGATACGAAAATCTTCGTGTCCAAATTTATCCCCAGAGTAACGTTCAAAGCATCCAAAAAATTATCCATTACCGCAATTGTGATATTGGTTGGTTGTGCTTCCGAGTCTGGTGTCCCACTTACCTTCCATGATTTCTCATCAAACGAGAGCCAATCTGGCAGCCCATGCGCTTTGATAGTAGAAACATCTTTTGCTTCCAGTGGTGTTTTATCTAACTTTAAGATACCGGGTAGGCCCGTATACTCAAACTGTTTACCCCTCGTCGCGTTTAGTTCGATGATAGGCTCCTCGGCCGTGAGTTCGTGAGTGCCCACCGCGATTGAGAAGTCGACAGAAGCCGATGCAAATCCAACAACATCCGAAGCTACTAGCCGGAAATCAAACCTCTGGGGCGGCTGTGCGAGGGACGCGGAGTCCGGCGTTTTGCCAGAGAAGGCAAGTTTTTCGGCATTGAATTCAACCCATGATGGGAGGGGCGAGTTGTTGCCGGATACTGCGTAGTAGTTCAGTTGTAGCTCTGGTACATTCATGGCTCCGTCTTCCTCTCTTTTTACATCCTGAAGCGCGCTTCTTCCACCGTAGGCCCTGCCCTGACCATTTCCGTTCCCCTCGATATCGACACCGAAGGTGTTCGGATCAAATTCGAACTCGAACTCGCTGGCTGGGCGAAGGAGTATGGATGCAGGCGCAGAGTACGCTCCAAACTTCTTGATTTGATCTAAAAGTGGCTTCCGCACAATTGGCCCCCGGCTGCGCGACACGACGAGTGTTGCATTCGCCGTTGTCGAGCCCGTGCTGTCGCTTGCTATGAGCGCAATTACAACGCCAACTAGTGTCTCTCCCGAGGGTATCGAGGCTTCGTCAGGGGTACCCGAAATCACTCGCGACGCGCTATCGAGCGAGAGCCATGAGGGTGAGCCGTCGGCTAGCGCGTAGCTCATCTCTTCATCGGACGAGAATGTAAGTGGCGAGAAGGCGAAAGAGAATGGCTCCAAAACTCGCGCCACGGGCGGGAGTTGCGAATTTAACGGGAAGTATGATATCGGCGTGCTCGCTACGGGAACGGTAAAGCTTAATAGTAGGATCGTGAGTTGAACCGCGAGGAACCGCTGTAAGTGTCGATGTGAACTCGTGATGACTATGTCGCGACGGGGACTCGCCCGCCGCCGCGTCACAGTCATTGCAGAAGGGAACCTCGACTACAACGGCGGTGGTTCGATATTTTTTTTTGTCGTGAGAATACCAACTTCACTAATCGTTTATTCGTGGAGAGCTTCTGAATTCGTGACAAGGCCCCGTGCGCTGGTCGTTCGTCTTCGCATACCAACTAAGTGCTCTCTTCCGCATGCGTATTGTATCTGCGTCTGTGGACCGTCTACACTTGACCAAGGAAGATTATCTCGAACGGAAGCTTCACACGCGATGGAGAGTACTAGTTTGGACTGCGCTTGAACGCGACGACCTCGACTAGCTTGACCACCTTCCATCCCTTCCATCTGTCTTTCCGTGACGTACCGCGCTATTCGCATGCTAGAGGCTCGCATTGCAACTCTCAGCAATGCAATGTAGTAGTAGAAGAAGCCACAAGCAGGAAATCAAGACCCCCCATCTAATCCACCTTACCCGTTTCTGAGCGCTTCTCGTCCCTCTCGGACGCGACTGGCACGCATTTATTCCAGATCAGGCAAAGAGGTCTCAGATCCATGGTGCCAATTGCCATATCTCTACTCCAATTTTACTCCAAATCTATGCTTATAATACGGCAGGCTGCCCTTTTTGTGCTGGAATTTGGATTGGGTAATGGGTCGGCAAATGTCTTAGCTACGCGCTGTCATTGATTGATGTTGGCATTCCGGGTTGGGCTTAAAGAGGGATGAGGCGCCGCGGCTACGTCCTAAATAGTCGGGTGCGAATGCCCTTCGCCCAAATTAATTCTGTTAATGGGATGACTCTTATCCCATGAGGAGACAGCCATATGGCAAGGCATTTCTTCATTCTTGCCAGGTGAGTGAGGGTGATTTGGTTTATAAGTTTTATCGAATAATCCGTGCCTCTTCGAACACCCCGCCACCCCACAGTCGTTGATTAAAACCCAGATCCCTACACGATAACCAACTAATCTTAACTAATTAACTACTTACTTGAATAAGGTTCAATTAAGATCATGCAGAATAAGTTAGGAGGTAGAATACCAACTTACCACCTTCACTACCACAGAAAATTATTTTCACGCTAAGCTGGACGGACCCAAGCGGGTGGCATAACGGGGCGTTTTGAGCAGCCGAAAAATCACAAGACGCCCGGTTAGCTCAATCGGTAGAGCGTGAGACTCTTAATCTCAAGGTTGCGGGTAGGTTCAAGTTACATCTTGAATAAAAAGATTGAAAATATACTAACAGCAACGATTAGGTTCGACCCCCGCATCGGGCTCAATTCCTGATGCCTCCCAGGTTAACTGGGAGTAGCAACCCAATTTTTTCTTTTTTCTTTTTTTACCCTTAAATTTGTTCCCTTTGTTTTGTTTTTTTTTGGCTTAGCTAGCCGAATTACGAAGTTTCTGTCTATATACCAGCTTTCTCTTCATGAACAGGAGCAAGTGCTTTCGTAAACTATATCTGAGTTGGCCTAGACGTTATTATACACCCAATGATTGTACGATTTTTCCCGCCCAGTAACGCGACTTTGACTATTTCTTGTTTTCCCGCGAGGATTATTATACTAAGGAGATGCATACTATCTATCTCTACACCTTAGTTATCGATTCCGTGCACGAATAAGCGCTCAACTCCTGCTCTCTTATAACACTCATTACGCCTGCGTATTCGGCCTTTCTCAAGTATACCTAGTCCGGAAGACTGCGTGATGGTGCGTCAGTTTTCCGAATCCATGTCTTCCCTCCACCTTAACCGAACGGTTTGAAACACGGGTGAAAAATAGGGTTGATTGCGAGGTGCCACTCCAAAGCATAGCTTACTCTTGCAACAGACTTTCTCTGGTGAACTCATTGCCCTCGTATCCCGCGTCCAAGAATTGGATGGTGGGATATCGCCAGACCATATTATACAAGTGACACAGCGCGTTTAGTTAAGTATATCCAGATAGGACTGACTGACTACCCAGAATAATCTTTCCAGAACAAATCCCCCCCCCCCCAAAAAAACAAGTAAATTATACCATTGATTTAACATCCACCGAACAAGGTAAAGCTCCCGTCGCGGCGTCATTAATACTCTTAATTCCAAGCTCGAGTACATATCCGTATTAACTCCCAAACTCCTTGCTTTCCTCGCAAATACCCATTACACATACAACTACAGCCCCCAAGTACCCAACTTCCTCCCCCCTACGATCCCAAGAACGGCAACTCCCTCGGCCGTCCCCAGACATCGCACGGCAGGAAGCGCCAAGCGCCCTCGTGTCTAGGCGAGAGCTTATCAGCAACAGCATGGACGGCCGGGACGGACAGGCGGGGCCAATCGCCTTTGTTCCCGCCGCCCACGCCGCCCGCGCTTATTCCCCCAAACCCCTTGCTCCCGCGCCGCGAGCCCCGCGACGACACAGATGACAAAGACAGCGAGGACGGCGTCCGCGAGAGCGCGGGCGACGGCAGAGCCGAGAAGGACGCAGAATACGAAGAAGAATAGGATATCGCTGTCGCGTCGCGCAGCCGCACGATCATCGGCGGCACCACGAAGTGGTCGATGGCCGCCGCTGCCTGCGCCTCTGCCGACGCGTACACCTGCGTCAGCTTGTTCGCGCGGTCGTCTGCTTCGAGGAGGGCCCGCGCACGCGCGAGTCTGTCTTTTGCTTCTGTGTCGATGACGTCTAGATTCCTACCGCTTAGCTCCGGGTCGCTTGTTTTTGTTTTATTGTTATTCTCGCTGATGCTGCTGCTGACTTTATGCTGCCGCGCAGTGCTGGTGGACGGGAATAAAGAGAGCGATGCGCTGGGCGGGGAGTGTGCGGGGGGCGAAGACGAAGTCGTCGAGGCCGAGGCGCACGAAAACGTCGACGAAGAAGGCGATGCCGGCGGGGATGTAGACGGCGGCGTGCTCGGGCCCGCGGTGTTAGACGCCGTCCTCGTGATCGTGACCATGGGCAGGGGCAGCGGAGCCGGGATGTCCGTCGTCGTCGTGGGCGAGGTCCCGGAGCACAGCTCCCGCATCGAAGCCAAGAGCCCGACCTGTCTCGTGAGATGAGGCACGAGCACGTCCGCGAGGGCGACGAGGAGCCCCTCCAGCGTCGCCGCGTTGTACGCTTGCGGATCCTTGTGCGTGGCTGATGCGTACGCATACACGCGGTGCAAGAGGAAGGAGATGGTTTCTTCGTCCTCGGCGTCCCCGTCTTTCTCCTTCCCCTTCATCGTCACCGTCGTGATTATATCCCTATCCGGATGGAAAGGTGCGGTAGACGGACCTGGAATGCTACTAGGCAACGTCAATGTGCCCGCCGGCACGCCCAAGGCGGCCTCGAAGCCGGGGAGCATCGTGTTCTCTTTCAGGTGGTGGTGGTCTAGCAGCCACGTGCTCCAGCTTTGCGTCAGGAATAGCAGGTCTGCTATATCCTGGCTTTGCTGCACGTGTGGTGCCTGCAGATATATCGAGTTAAGACCGCGCAGCATGGCGTTGTGGATGTGTGCGATCTCGTTGGCGATGTGGAGGGCTGGGTGTGTGATCTACATGGCCTTTCGTTAGCTGCCTGCTCAGGTATGTGTATCTGATCGCCCCTGTGGTATGTTCGAAACTCGATGGTTTGGAGGCTGAATGGCAGGAGTATAAAAAAGCGAATTATTTTAAGGAATAAGCACATTGGGTATCGAAGAGATGGAGGTATAGACAGGTAAGTCCGCCCCTCGCTCCCAAAGGAAGAAAATCGATACCCCAAGACTCGATAAAATAAGCATGAAAAATACGCACATGTTGTGTTTTCGACGGCACCTCGATCAGGGGCCAGGGCTGATCAGCCCAAGGCTTCAATGCAGCAATCTCGCCCTTGGCCTTCCCATCCTGGTTTCCAGGACCCTTATTCCCGCTCCCGCTCCCACTCGCCTGTCTATATCCTCCAGAGGAGGCAGCATGGGGAGAAGACGGCTTAACAGCGAGTAGACCGCGGTCGCCGGGCCTCGCTCTTATTAACGACACCATGGTGATCGTCGGTCAGTTAGCCAGTCAGTAGGGCTGACACGGAGAGATCGACCAACAGATAACCTTAACGGGTATAGCAATATAAGCAAGCAATGCGGTATGTAACAATGGAAGGTCGAGAAGCAGCGGAAAATAAAAACGACCCAACTAACGGGTCTCTACCAAGAACAATCCTGCGAAGGGACGCTGAGATATATCAACCAGTTGCCCGAACGGAAAAAACGGGATCGGGGCCAAATCCCTCCCTGCCTGCCTCCCCCTGGTCTACGGGTTTTGTCTACCTATCTATTCTATCTTTAGGTTCCCCATTTTCCCACGGCTAGGGCTATGGAAGGCTCGGCATCGTACAGATAGAAGACACTACAGAATAGATAGATTACATACATCCACAATGGGTATGAACAAAAATAATTTGCCCCTCATGCTCATGCACCCATGACCTCACCGTTACACGCAGTAACGTGGGACGCTGCATAATTTCCTTCGTCTCGAATAGGAAAAACAACAACAAAAGGTACCTACTATACGAAAAAAAAAGACCATCAGCCGAAGGAGGTCTAGAGCTAATATTTCCACGGACATGTTTCCCAACTTTGCGAGAAAATTCCCATCTCGTCTCGAGAGATAAAGTGCGGGAGTAACTGGCACGCAAACCCCAGGCTAAACCTTTCTTTACCAGGGGGAGGGGAGGAAACTGATTAGACCAGTCGAGAATTATCCCTTCATTCGAAGAGGATCGAGATGGAGATAGATACCTAGTGTAGATTATTGAGTGGCAACCAACCTCCTCCTTCCCTTCCCCCTCCCTTCATGCAGGAACCCTAGTACCGAGATCGATAGATAGGGATGAGAAAAAAAAAAAAAAAAAAAGGTCCTGACGAGATAGCCGGACCAGGGAGCCGAGCGGCAACAACATGATACGATAATACGTCGCTCTCACTGATTGCAGAGAGCTGAATAACATACAGTACCTAGTTGTGGTAGCAGTGTAGGTATCCTTTGCGTTTACGACGTGGGGGGATCTCAGGCACGTAAGCTGCGCGGAACCAACAAAGAACGCTCGCTAATAAGCGACGCCACATCGCGAGGCTGCAAAGCTAGACGAGGAAAACATACATACATACAGTAGTGAAATAGATAACGAGGCAGGCTAGATTCCCTTGGAAGCCCTGCTCACCTGCATATTCGGTAGGTAAAATAGCCTTGAGTGGTGTGGCGTTTAGGGAGGGAGGGGAGGGAACGGGGGACCGGCCAGGTTCCCACCAACTGACGGACAGCGAAAAAAAAAATAGCCCTTCTTTAAACGCTGCCTAACTATGTATGTCAACATGGCTAGCCAATTCTTTCCTTTCACAGCTGTCGATCGGCACGCTAAACTGGAGCCGCACTTCAATAGCCGCCTCTTTCAGGTTTAAACCGTTGCGGCTGAGCCGCTTATACCCTTGCACAAGGGAAATTTGAGAGAGAGAGAGAAGACGCTTTTCCCAACCACGACCCGACCAACACGTGTGGTGATACAGCATTGTTCTCGACCCAGCTGTCACAGGTAGCCTAACGGATAACGGCCGCTGGGCGTGAGTAATGGGCAGGTGCTGTATGCAAGCGGATATTGGCTCTCGTAGCGTAGTGTAGTGTAAATACCAAGAAGTAATAAATGTATGCGTGTGTATGCACGTTACACGCCGAAACGACGAAAGCGTGGTCGGCTCCCCAAGATTATCGATAGATAACATAAGATGAAGCTAAGTATTGCCCTTTTTTCTCTCGCAATAATCTGGGATGCCGCATACCTATATGTATCATGATCCTTTTTAAGGGTATCCCGAAAAAATGGAACCTTCTGCCTCTGTCACCTCTTGCGTGCCATCGCCCCCATACCGGAAAAGAAAAGCGAGCGGTGGCCCTTGGGGGCCGTTATCGCGGAATTCCGTCCTCCTTGATGCCTTTGGCACCACCACCACTCTGGTCGACTCCTTGCCAACCCGAGTCCCACCCCTCATGATGATCCACAGCACTAATTGCCTCGCCATTCCCAGCCATCCCTTTGATATCGCTCCAATATTGCAATCTGCGGACTTCCTCGTCGGCATGTCTAATAGCGCCAGCTAAATTTTCAGCCTTGGGCGTTTCCGTTGATTTCCCTTTACCCGTCTTGCTCGTCGCATCATCATGCAACTGTGTAAGCCGTGCGAGGAGTGTTTGTCGAGAGGTCTGAAAGATAAACATGGC